ATTTTTTGCCAAAAGTCATCTTCATTTTCGGCCATTTCAATGCTCCATTTAGCAAAATCAAAGCGACACGGATAATCAGCTGGGTTTAATTGATGAGCCATTTGAATTTTGTATGGAAACATCTTCAAATCCTTGGTTCGAGCGATGCCTAACTCTTGAGAACGATGACGACCGGATGTTGATGGAGTCTCTTCAACACTGGCTCGTACGACTTCGATATTGGTGACTGGTATTACTAAGACTATCGGTGTTCACAAATTTTGCGTATAAACGTCTGATAGTGTTATAAGCTGGAACACTTTTAACTTTACTTTTTTTAGGAAACGCACGTTTAGTTTTCACGACTGAGAAGTTATTTTGAATGTACAACTGAATAATTTCAGCACGTTGACGTTTGACATTAGTCGATCTGTCAACTAATGTCAAAGATATGGGGTTACCTGATGCTTCCACTTTAAATGGCACACCTTGTATTAAACGTAAGGTGCAAAAAGCTTGCAAACTATCTATAAAAGCTTGAGTATGTAATAAAATTTTCACCACTTATGAGATGTCCACTAATTATTAATATTAACGTCATTGTATGCCTCGTGTCCCTAAGATTAGTCATGGTCTGCCAATCTGAACTATGATAGGCTGCACAATGCGATGAGAGTGTGACATTATCAAAACATGGAAAGATTTTGTTATGCACTTCTGTAACAGCCTGGATGAGGGCATGATCTGGGAGAAGGCAAGTTTGATATCGTCAACTTCACCATTTACTACGTTGACTTACATACAGGCTGCTTCTAAAGTATGGAGCATAAAATGAAGATGCTACTACTTCCTTTGACGACGTCTTTGCAGAATACTAGATTCCAATCTCCTTATAGATCACCCTACTCTTTCAAATTCACTGAGTCTAATGGACTTTCCAACACTTATTTGATTTTTTACCGGAGCTATTACCACTTTGATGATAGCCGAAGGCGTTAAAGCCAAAGCTACGCATCTATTTTTTATTTGTTATGTGGTTTTGAAGCTTCTAAATACTTTAAAACTCTAGAAGTAGTAGTGATACCAACCTGGTTAGTACATTTATAGACAAACACCATATCCATGGCGCGAAATGTAACTTTCGAGGCCGGGATTTGAACTCGCACGTCATCGAGTCAATGTGCTAGCAGCTTGACAATGTAATATATCTGGCTATCCGCAGCGGTATTACGAATCTTGAGAAGTGACATCGTGTCGATTTTTTTTACGTTACATTGGTTTTTCTTCAAGACGCTAACTCACCACCAGCTGGACACGTTGTGAACTCGTTAAGTAGTTGTACGTGTTGTCTAAGCGTCATGAGGTTTCACTTATCAATTTTTGGCCCTGATGTAATGTAAAATGTGCTTCAGAGATGGCAATACATAGGTGTATAGTGAAGATTTGCGTGTTAATAATAATATGTAATGACGAAGTCCATTGGTTTTTTGTCTCAAATACACTTACTTGAGATTCAAAGCTAGAAACTAGTTGCGCATCCACTTTTTCTTATCCATTCTGGGAATAACATATGCAAATTTGCTGGAATTTAAAAATGAGAGAGATAAGAAATATTTATATTCACTGTACACTGTCGATTTACAAGTCATATTCATGCTACCAGTAATTACACACAACACGGGCGCGGTGGTGATTTCCCGTTATTCTCGTTTTGAAAACACAAAAAAACGTAAAAAATCGTAATTCATAAATTTGAACATAACCTGTTTTCAGGAAGGACAAAATATAAATAACCTGCCGGGCACAGCTAATATATATGCTTCATTGACAGCATATTGAGTAATGATATTTTCACACATCCAGATGCGATCTTGTTATTCAACCAACTTTCTTCTCAGAGATGAAAGCTATGGACTACTCTGCTTCACAAAACATATGCAACCAACAGTGTGTGTAGTTGAGTTATTCCTCCATAGATGGACGCTCGCAAAGATCCTAGTGAGCTAACGTGGAATGACTGATTACACCATAAAAACTACCTAGTCTGCAAGATGACATTTTATAGGTTGTATTTTTTTGACGTTCTCTGGTTTTTTACATAATACCCGTGCCAGCCTCCATGCAAAAACCTAAAATATGCAGTCCTCTATCTTTCAAAATAGATGAGTGGTGGGCTGTCAAGGTTGAGCATTTTTTTTAAATTGACTTGCTTGCTAGTCAACATTTATCAGAATGCTGTATACCCAATGCATTACATCAAATTTTTCCTTCTGAAAGGGTCTATCTGCATATGCAAGGAGAAATACGAAATAAACCAAACATGATATGAAATATTTCGTTTAAAAAATTATTAATAAAAAATCTCCCATTTTGACTGTATATTCAAATACACATTTCAGACGAAGATTGACATAACATACTATAGAGTCTTGATGATTGCCTGTTGAATTGCAAGCGTGACAATTTACAAACTCACTTGACCTGGACAGCCTGAGAGCCCAACATTTTGAAATACAAGTTTTTTCAGCTTGTTGTAGAACCCTTCTGGTACAATCGACCGGTTACGCATTTAGAAAAACGTTTTCTGACACGTTATCGTAACAGAACAATTCTGTATTTCGTTCCAGTCAATCCAAGGATCGTCCTGAAATGGTTTTGTTTCTGTGAAATCGCATCAAATGATAATTGAACGTTTCCAGGACTCAAGGTTGGAACAAACTTATAGGAAACGTATACTACGTGACATACTTGCTATCATGGAAATATACGCTGATAACATGTTGTTGTGTTCCGAAGAATATGAACATGTTTACTTCATATTCAGTATTTTTTCTGTGTTGGTTCCATTCGTTTCATTGTGGTTTCATTGCATTATCATGCTTAGAGTTTGCAGACGCGCTAATTAAAGAAATACGTGAAGCCGGATCTTCTTTTGGATAAATCGCTAATCGGGTGAATCGAAACGAAGCTACTGTAATGAGATGTTGTCGAGCGTGGTTCCAAGAAGGCCAAAATCGACGAGTTAGAGGTACTGGACGTCAAAGACAGACTACAGAGCGACAGGATCGTTATTTGAGGTAACTAGCACTTAGAGATCGATTTTCTACAAGGACACTTGCGTCCCAGTGATTTGATGCTATCGTGTACTACCTATGCCCACACAGCATCGTGATATGGAGTAGGGAGATACTTGAATGGAATACGGAATGGAGCTCAGTCCTGTTCAGCTATGAGTTCCGATTCTGTTTCGCCACACCTGATGGCCGGAACGCCCAATATCTCATCGAACGGCATATTTATCGTACTGTGGGTGTTATGCAGAAGGCCACGATTAGTGTTCATTCGAGGTACAATGATTGACCAGCGCTATATCCATGATGTTTTACATCCACATCTGCTTCCCTTGTTGGAAACATTGCAAGATCCACTTTTTCAACAGGACAGTGCACGACCTCATGTCGCACGTGTTAGTTCAGACTTTTTAGAAGCGTAAGGAGTAAATCGGTTTTGATGGCCTCCTCGATCTCCAGACCTTTCCCCCATCGAACATGTATGGGACATGGTGAGAAGAAGGTTGCAACCTCCACAAATACCAAGAAGACACCAATCACCTAATCCAGTCAATGCCGCGACGACTTAACGAATGTCTAGAGAACAGAGTAGCTTCAACTCATTATGTACATTAAGGTGGGATATCTCAGCTATTTTCTGAAATTTCGAATTAAAATTTTAATTGCTTTCTATTTATCAGTAGTCCTAAGACTTGTGAAGTTATGCTCAAAATTACGACACTCCTAGTCAGTATTGCATTTTCTATGTCATTTAGTATATATTCTAGGGCTATAAGCTACTCAAATCAATTCTATTGGATAAAACAAGATTCCACCTAGTCGAGCAAGCTTTAATTTGCCAGTTTCCCCGTAAGATATAGTATTCATCATCAACTCCTCAACTCCATTACCTCGAGTTTTAGTTACTAACGATAGGTTGACCGATTCCAAAAATAAATAAGGAGTATCAATAAAGAAACGCACTGTATATTAAAACCTAAGTGACTGTTTCAAAAAGGCATTCAATATTTTATCAACAATCAAAGCGGATGTAGGCACACTTGGTCATAATTTACTGATACTCAAAATCCCAAACTTACTCCCAGGAAGTTTAAAGCCGGGTCTAGGATATTGTTAGTTCTGTGGCCGTAGCCTCAGAGAATGTTCTCGTAGTTGCGGTCGGGCTTTCCATTTTCTGTCATTGTACCCGGGGAAAGTGAATAAAGCCCTACAAAGCGGCGATGTCGCGGCACTCCTACAACTGAAATGGTTATGGGATGACGGGGAGGCAGAGGGCGGAGCGATCGTCCTAAAGCGCAAATACGACAGGATTATTGCATTTACGAGAGCCGCAGCGAGAACTTTTGACTCAGAGGTGGAATAAGTTACATACAGGGTTGCTCACTGAAACTCTATTAGACGTTGGATGCTATGACAGATGAAATGGTTATAGAGGGAACTATCGAAAGGATTAACGTGCTCACGCGCGCCACTTTGAGAACTTTTGCCTTATACTTTACAGCAAAGAATAGCTTATAAAAGGAATAAGCTAAAACTGTAGAAGTCTGTAGGGTGTTCCGTTTTATTGTTTTAAGAAAAAGTACATTTTGCGTTTATCAATATCCTATATAGACAAAAAATGCTTGAATTCCGAAACATCTGTGAAGCTCACGTTGAAGTAAAGTTTGCTACTCTTATCTTCAAAAATAACTGACCAGTAGTTTGACAAAGTTGAGTATTCTTTTGATCATGTGTCTTCAATAAATGATAAACGCACGCTTTTATAGCTAATCGAACTAAAAAGTAGAAAATAATTTTAAAATACAAATAGTTTAAATTACAGTAGTAGATGATCAAAAAACCAATCATAATTAATGACCTCAAAATAAAATTATTATAAAATTCAAGTTAATAACAGAATAATTCAATTGCAAAAGCGTGTTAAAAAATAAAAAAGGTATAACCACAATCTGCTTCCTGTGAGGATTTAACTCACGACCCTTGTTTCACAAGACCATTGCACTGCCACTGAGCTACAGAGGCTGGTACCTTATAGTATGTCTTTTTATAGACCATTTTCATTATACTACAATATACATGATGTTTAGAAAAATGCATGCGACGAGTAACGAGCAGATATTTGCCTATATTTTTCTATATGACTTTTTTTAGATATCTCTCATAATAACGGAGCTATCAACCGATTATACCCTAAAAACTCACCCTGTATCTGCAAATCTCATTGATTTGCTCATGTTCTGTAAAGCACCATATTGAGCTTATGACGAGATGCCTATTAAATCTGAATGTGATACCCAATTCTATATGTATATTGCAAACAGCGTGTTGCTTTTCGATTTAAATTTAAAATTGCTAGAACTTGTTTATAGCGATACAGATTCTCTACTATTTTTTTATTTTTAGACATGACAGCTAGATGGATTTAGGAAACGGTGATAATATTCCTAGGATAGAACGTGCACTGAGGAAGCTTTCATAAATGTAGATCCTAAGGTCAAAACCATTCACGAAGTCAAAAATATAAAGATGAAATATACACAACGTTGTATATTCTCAATATACACAAATATATTCCCAGTTAAATTTAAATGATGCGCTCAGGAACTGGAATCTCTTATTTGCAGTGATAATATTTTCTACACTACCATCGAAGTATTAATTGCATCTTTGAATAAAGGTGAAGTTTCCTAGCTACCGAAAAATCGCTTTTAAATTCGGCTACATGTTTCTGAAACGACTTAATGCACTTACTCACTTTATTACCGGATTTAGTAGCAGCGTGCTCCTAACGGATACTGACAGCATCGTGTAACAGTAGAAACATGTAACTGAACTCTGCGGGATTATCCGGCTGCTAGATAATCGCACCTTTACACCGAATATTTTTTCTGTATTATCTCTTTCGAAGCTTCCAAGACTTTAGTGGATAGTGATCTCTTTCTTCTGGTGCCGTCTCTTATCGAAGGTTGGTGACCTCTAGATTTGACATTCCTCTATACAGTGTGAGTCTTCATAAAGTGCACATATCAAAATCAGAGATACTACACTCTATTTCATCGACGGATAAATCATCAAAAAGAAAATTAAAAACAATAATTGATTTTTTATGAATATTTTAAAATTTTTAGAGTCAGCTGCTAACCCTATTTAAATAAATCGTTACAACTTTTAAACTGAATGTCCTATCATATTGGAATAAATTTTATAGTGATTGCACATAATAGGCCGTACCAGTAAGGTGAAAATTTCCACGAAATTAAATGCTATAAATTTAAACTAAAGAGGAATATGCTGAAACTCACTATTTTTTCAATGATTTTTAAAGCAATTGCTAAATTTCAATAAAAATTGGCCTATTTACCCTACCTTTTTTAAATTTTAAGTTATTCTACATGTTATTAGCTTCCTAATGGTAAAAAATTGCAAGTTTATTACTTAGATACAAGTTTTTAAATCAGCGTTTCAAAAAGCAGTGAACTCAGTTCAACGCCAGAGTAGGAATAAAACAACAGTATTAACCTACATGAATCATTCATTATCTTTAACAAATAAAATCAAATAGACTTGTCCACAGGATAATCATTTTGGCTTAATGCATCAAATGTTCAAAATGGCCACCCCGTTGCTGCAAACACAGCGCGAAGTGAAATTTGATGAGTTGCCCTACGAATCATCTCGGGATCATTTTTGATTTCGTTTGCAACAAGCAAAACTCTTTCTTCAAGTTCCGCTTCGCTGTTTATGGAACTGCTGTACACCCTTTGTTTCATTGTCCCCCATAAAAAATAGTCGAGAGGTGTGAGATCTGGGGAACGCGTCGGCCACCCAACAGGTCCTTGTCGACCGATCCAGCGGCCTGGATAATTTTCATTAAGAAAAGACCTGACAATCAGCGAGTAATGGGCAGTACATCCATCCATTTGAAGCATCATTTTCCGACGGGTTTGCAGCGGCACTTCTTCCAACAGCAAGGGCAGTTCAGTCCGCAAAAGCTCCAGAAATCTCTCTCCGTTTAATGTCCTCGGGAGTATTATTGGACCAATCAAAAAGTTGTCAATCAGTGCGGCCCACACATTTACAGAAAATTTCACTTCAAATGTTGAAGCCCTTTTCAGCCTAGGGTTTTCATCTTTTAGGCACCACTTATGTATGAGAATTGAGATTCATCTGTCCACAGAATTGTTTTCGGGAATTCAGGATTGTCTCTTGTTTTTATTAAAATCCATGTAGACATAACGCACCTTGGACGCCAATCCACATCTTCATGCAAGTGCTGCATCCTTTGATAATGGTATGGATGCAACCCTGCTTTCCTCAAGATGCGCCAAACCGATTTCTGGGATACGCCATGACGTAATGCCAAACGTCTCGTACTAGTAGTCGGGTCAGCAAACAAATCATCCAAAATGGCTTCTTCGATAGCAACATGAATAATAACACCTGATTCGCGGCGATCTCGAGGCAAACCAAGTCCGGTGCTAGCCAGTCTTGTATGTACTTCTTGGAAGGTACGGGCTGATGGAACAGGGCGTCGATTTGGAAATGCAGCTAGATAAGCTGTGCAAGCAGCTCTAGCACTCCCTCGGTACATTCCATAATAATAATGGATATCGGCAATGTGTGCCGGAGGGAAATCACTTATACGTGGCATCGCGACCAAAAAGCGAAAGCGTGATATGTAGCAAACGAAACTGATAAAGTTGGCAGGAGAAACACAAATAGCTGCCTAACTGCCTAACATTCAATTGTTTTTCAACTGGGCCCACCTCCCCACTCGTACTTCAGCCCGCGCGACTCTACATGATAAACAATGGTGCCTAGCAAGACGATGCACATGGGCTTCTTTATAAACACTTATAGAAACTGTTACATTTAAGTAATAAACGTGCAATTTTTACTTTTATAAAGCTGATAACATGTAGAATAACTTACAAATAAAAAAAGGTAGGGTACACGGGACGATATTTATAGAAAATTTAAAATTATTGTAAAAATGATAAAAAAAACAGATTTTCATCAAAGTTTTCTTTATTCTAAATGGATGTCATTACTTTTCCTGGAATTCTTCACTTTTCAGGCACGTCCTTTTACCAGCAATCACTACAAAATGTATTCCAATATGATAGGACATTTAGTTTAATAGTTGTAACGAGTTATTCCAATATTGTTAGAAGCTGCTACTAAAAATTTTAAAATATTCATATATTCATAAAAAATCAAATTCATGTTTTTTTTGATGTTTTATCCGTCGATGAAATAGAGCGTAGTTTCCCTGATTTTGATATGTGCACCTTATGAAGACTCACACTGTATTTGACTGTATGAAACAATTCCAACACAATCCCTTATATCCTTGAGCCACGACAACTTTTTCCTTCATTGCCTTGCATCATTGTATTAGTGTGTACCCTTTACCCCTTAATATGTGGCATAGATAGCTATTCTTTATCTGAAATGATCTTGCTCTGCCAATCAAATAGTTATTCACTGTGGAAATGAGCTCCACAATGGAACAACATGCGCCTAAGCAAGAGATACTTACCTTCTAGAAACTGTCTATCATAGAGGTATTGCCACTACCTTTTTAACCATCCCTTATATCGACTTTAAGGATCAAATCGCTGATGTTCGACATTCCAAATGTATTGCCAAGAGTGATCACCCTGTAGGGCTTTACACGCGCCAGCTTGCTAGTTTATAAACAGATATCCCAAATCACATCCGCTGATGAGTATGCACATTGCAATTGTGTATTCTTATCAGCCAAATTGGGAATATAATTGAGCTGACATGGAAGGTATCGCCGCTCTGGGGACAGTCCACTTGGGGGTAGCGCTTGCCGTTCTATCCTATGTGGAGACCAGCTGTGCTCTGCAGTGCCAACTATACTAAGTACCTCCTTTTAAAACTCATTACTGTGTTTACTTATGAGCACTCGCGAGTAATCTGTTTAACAGCCCTTTGTTGCGCACAGGCGAAAGTCTCGAGCAACTAAACCTCAACTCACAATCGCGACAATATGAGGCTTCCTATAAATAAATAAATAAATAGCGTCTATTGCCTAACAGTTAAGGAAACCATTTACAGTACAATCCTATCCTAAATCTTCAAATGACCGTAAATTTATCTGTCAAGTTCTGGTGAAGTAACCCATAATTCTTGATGTGATAAGGCTCCTTCTGCGTCTGAAATATCATGTTGGGTGTTATTTGTGACGCTCGGTGTTTGTGCTTCGTTTCACTCAAGACAACCCATGTCAGTGTCAAACCGAAAAGGTATTGCGTTGCAACTTACTATTCAACCCTTAAATGGTCTTCTGGCTAAAGAAAGCTGTCATTTTTAGAGAAACTTTACGTTGAAAAGTAAGTTTTGATATAGTTGTAGTCTCCGTTCCTGGTGGATACATCATCATCGTCATATGAAATACTCGTAAGTAAACAGATCCAGTCTCGGTACCATGGGTGGATCTTAATTTTCTTAACTCAGGGAAACCGATTCCAAATTATTTACTAATCGTAATTTTAAAAAATCTTCTAATCTAGGTCATAAGCATGGGTAGACATGCCATTTGAGGTTTTTTAAAGTTGAAATAAAAAATACATACGGAATTTACAGTACAAAATAACACATCTATTTGCTAACTTGTTGGAACATTTAAGATTAGATGTTGATATGTGACAAGCTTATAAGAGCTTAATAAGAACCATCTTCAATGATAAAAACGCTCAATTCTTCCTGGAGCGAAATGCGACTAAATTAATTACTGCTAGACAATAAAATACATTTTGATGATGATGCGCTTAAGCTCGAGCTTTTAGATCTATGTCGCCCTGATAAACATTAAGCTTGTAACTTCCATATCTGTCAAAATATTTTACAATCTACATTAAGGTGCACACAGAGAAAATTAAGAATTATGAATTTTCAAAATCGTTTCGGTCGTTTTAAATCAAGTCTTCGATATGTTTCACACACTTGGCCCAAACTGTAGGAGTCACGTTCGCTAGAGTATCGTCTAAAAC